ATTTCATTCTAAAAGCAATGCGAAGTTAAGGTAGGGTTTTCAGCCAGAGAGGGCTGTGATCTAACTCAGCTGGCCACAGGGTCCCTCTGGCTGCACGAGAGGAACAGACTGTAGAAACCTAGAGCTAACGGGTTTTGTAAATAAAAGTTGGTTGGAGAAAAAAATAAATGAAAAATAAACAAATAAAAATTAAAAATACAAAAACTTAAAAAAAAAAAAAAAAAGAAAAGAAAAAGAAAAAGAAACCTAGAGCTACTGGGCGGCTGCTGCAAGGGTCCAGACCTAGGAGGACCCTTAGGGCTGGAATACAGCCAGAGAAGGCATGGAGGACAGAGGTCTGGGGACACTGGAGAAAGTGGAGCTAATGGGACTACCATAACTTTGACTTTGCTGGGACAATCAAGACTGGTCTAGCTTTTGGGCCCAAGCAATGAGGAAGTGTGAAGAACTTCACTGAAATGGGAGACTTGAAGGAAACAGTTGTAAGGATTTGAGTTAGATTAGAGCAGGAACTGGCCAACTGTGTGAAAGGAGTGGATTCTGTCATAGTCCGATGGCTTTGGGGGTGGGGATTACAAGACCTGGCTCCTCCAGGTATGGGAGCTGTGAGTCCTTTCTCCACCTCTCCCAAAGGCTTGTGAAGGGATCCGACAGCAAACAACACAGGGACAAGGCCCAGGCAGTAGCAAGCTCGGGCCAAAGCCCCCCCCTACCCCGCCCACGTATGTTGGCTATTTCCAAATCTAGGCAGGGACAGGGCAGGGTGGCCTCTTCCTGCCTGACCTGGAGAACTAACTTAGAACTCTCCTGGGCCTGTTCTGGCCTAGGGGGAATGGCCTCTTTGGTGTTGGGCCATCTGCCCATCTTCCCAGTTCCCTACCTGCTCCTGGTGGATATTGGGAAAACTCCTAGACCAAGAGCTTAGAGATAGAGCAGGTGACCCCAGCCAATGAGGTTTTAAGTAAGAGCTTTGGGGCCAGCAGGTGGCGTGGTAGTTAGGGGCATTGGACTCCCACATGGCCAATCGCGGTCTGAGTCCCGGATCTGGCAGCTTGCTTTCTTGCTTTCCTTCTCTCTCTCTCTCTCTCTCACTCTGATCAAATTAAAATAAATAACAGAATAAATATATAATAAAGTTTGAAAACATAATTCTTTAAAAAATAAAGAAGTAAAAGCTTTGGGGCCAGCTGGTGGCATGGTGGTGAAGGCTGCTGGATCCCACATGGCTGACTGTGTGGTTCAAATTCCAGACCTGGTGGCTTGAAAAACACTCCAGGCACGTGTGTGTGTGTGCATGCCCGAGATCTCAATAGGAGGGAAAAATGGAGAAGGGATTGCAGCATCACCATCCTCCAAGGGGGTCCCTCTCACTCTCTCCAGTCTATCGAGCATGACTGCCCTCTGGCAAATTAAAAGAAAAAGGTGGGACCAGCAGATGGCGAAATGGTTTTGCCACTGGACTCCTTCGTGACTGACTGCAATTCGAGTCCCAGACCTGAAGGTGTGAAACTTATGGCAGGTGAATGTGCATGCATGCCCCAAATCCCGAGGAGAATAGGGAAGGGATTGCAGCATGGCCATCCCCCCTGGGGGGTGTGACTTTTTGCTTTCTATTTCTCTGTCTCTGCCTCTCTGGCAAAGAGACCAGAATCAGTAAATGAATACTGGTAAAATATCTCTAGGTTGGGGCCAGTAGGTGACATGGTGTTTGGGATATTGGACTCCCACATGGTCAACTGTGGTTTAAGTTCTGGGCCTGGTGGTTTCTTTCTCACTTTTCCTCTCTCTTTCTCTCTCTCTCTCTGGTCAAATTTTTAAAAAGTAGTAACAAATAAAATTAGAATACAATTAAATAATGGTCTCTCTTTTTTTCATATTTTTTTTTTGCTATAGTGTGCACTTGCCAGAGAGACATGAAACAAGAAATCATCCCCCAGGGGAGCTGGCCACATTGCAATCTTTTTTGCTATAGTGTGCACTTGCCAGAGAGACATGAAACAAGAAATCATCCCCCAGGGGAGCTGGCCACATTGCAATCTCTTCTGCATTCTTCTCTAGGGATTTTGGGCACGCTCACACATGTGCCCGGTGTGAGTTTCAAGTAGCCAGGTCTGAGACTCACTCAAACCATGGTCTACAACATGGAAGTCTAGTGGCATTACCATTACACATCTGCTGGACCTCATAAATATAAAAAAAAAAAGAAAGAAAAAAAAAAGAGCTTTAGCCTGCTGTGATAGCACAACAGTGACGTGGTTGCCCATGATCCTGGAACATGCGGGAAGGGTGCCTGGTTCACATACCAAGGTCTTGCTGTGTATGCCACACACGTGTGTGTCCATGATCCAGGCTGGCTTAAAACTGGGGTAGGATCACTGCATGAAGACCCCCTTGGGAGGGACCAGCAGTTAGTGTAATGGCTATGTTGCTGAACTCCCATGTAGTTGACCGCGGTTCGAGTCCCAGACCCGGTGGCTTAAAGTCACGCTGGGTGCGTGTGTGTGCATGCCCAAGATCCCGAGAGAATGGAGAAGGGATTGCGGTGTGGCCATCCCCCCTGGGGGGGTGATTTCTCGCTTTCTCTGTCTTTCTGGGGAGTGCACGCACCCTATAGCAAAAACCTCTCGAAGAAAAAAAAAGACCCCGTTGGAGGTGCCCAACTGTCTATTTCTGTCTTCCTTTCTCATAAAGAAAAAAAAATAAAGACTCCCTTTAATTGTCAGCCTTGGGGCCACTTCCTGTCAGCCACCCATGGACAGACTAATAATAATGCTGACGTGTCTACTGAAGGTGCAAGAGGCAGTAGGGGAGGGGTGAGGAGCCATGAAGGGACCAGAAAGGGCTCTTCGTGAAGGGGTATGGTCAGTGGACCCTGGTGGCAGCTTTAGGTTTGACCATGTCTGTACCACTCTTTAGAACCTTCCAGACTTCAGTTGGGATTTCCTAAATGCTGTATCTATCCCATTGGTAATGCCACCTTGGGGAAGCAGACTAGAGGGGGCAGTGGTCTCACAGCGGACAAGACACTGGACGGCCTGGAGGTGACATACAAGCAGCTGACACAGCAGCCGACACAGCAGCCCTGAGCCCAGCAGGAGAGGCAATCAGCAGGTTGGAACCTGAACCTGGCGGCAGCTTTTCATCCCTTACGACAGCAGAGCGCTCCTCAACCATGGGCTCACCACCACCCACGTGGAGGGCGCAGCTCCTCTCCTCAGCTGCAAAGCTGAGGCACAGACAGGCAGACTACCGTGCCCAGAGACCCTGGACTGGAGCTTGCATGCTAGTCTTCCAGAGTCAGCCCTCAGACCTGCTGCAAGGATGACGCTCCTGGAGAAAGCAGACCTGCCAAGCAGGAAGAGCTGTGACTCCCAAAGAAGGTAAAGGTCATTTCCTCTTCCCCTGCTGAGTAGCCATGTCCAGTTGTGCAGGCTGGGCACGTGCCTAGTGGCGGACTGGGTGCTCTCCCCACCACAGGGGGTGCCTGCTTCTGATCTGCACAAGATGCGGGGTGGTGGTGGTGGCGAGCAGTGTTCCAGTCCTCCCTTTTATGACCTGACTCCTGCTGAGCTGCAGACAACTCCTTCTGTTCCGTCCCCAGGATTTGGACATTTCCTAGTTCCTGGCTCCTGCTCGGGTCAGAAACCTAGGGCAAAGGGTGTGTGCTCCACCCAGGCTGTCAGTGCCGTCAGAGGAATGTAGGGATGAGTGCCAGTGAGCAGGCAGCAGGGAGGGTGGGTGGTGTGCGGCATGCACCCCTGCCCTCTTCACAGGCAGGGCACACCGGCAGGCACAGGGTTCACCGTGAACCGAGTGCTCAGGGCAGCCGCCAAGCTACGCCAAGGACTGAATGCCTATTGTGACATTTCATTTCCTCCATTACCCCAGGGAGGTGGGGGTGGGGGCAGAGCAGGACTAATGCTGTCCCTACCCCCACACCTTGCAGACAACAGGCCCAGAGGGGAAGACACCTGCTCAGGTCACTCTGCTAGAGTGCCAGGAATACTTCTTGTAAAACGGAGAGCAGGACCAATCCTGCTAAGGATCAGTCACATGAGCTGGGAGCCCTGGACACAAATAAGGGGAGTAGGCTGGAAAGTGGGAGAACGAGGACGACGTCCTTCGGACTGTTACAGTTCCCGAGCATGCGCGTGTGTGCGGATGAGAGACGAGCGCTCCCCACAGGGCCTGCTCACACTGTGATCCCTTCCTCCAGCCCCTGGGATCCTGAGCACCTGCCGGTGCCCTGTAGCTCAGGTGGACAGAGCTGGAGATTCGAACCACGGCCACGTGGGATCTGGCTCCCCTGGGCAGCACGTCTCCGCTGTTCCACAGCCAGCTCCGTCTGGTGCCTTGTTCTGAGTAAAGGAAATCCTGATAGTCTCACAGCTTCTCTAAATAGAAGCGTATTGAGGGCCACTTTGCAACCTGGTTGGAAACCCTCCGAGTGAGTCTGAAATGAACAACTGCTCACATTTTCTAAGAGCTGGGCCCAGTCTGAGACCTTTACTGGAAAAAGCTTGTGGAATCCTCACACCTCTCAGAGGGGTCCATTACTCTCCCCTTCCACAGAGGAGGAAATTGAGGATGAGAGGCAGAGTCATTGGACCAGGGACACACAATGGGCTGAGTCACAAAAATCCAAGGCAGGCAGGACAGGCCCAGCGCCCCCCCGCTCCCCCCCCCCACACACACTCCTCTAAGCGCCCCAGGCCCCAGAGGCTGCTGGGCTGCTCCAGGGCTGGGCGCCTACCTCCTGCACACACTCCTCTTTGCTGACTCACAGCTCCCTCCCTACTGCGACCTGACAGGTCAGGAAGGTGGGGGTGGAGTGGAAGGTCTACTGCTGGGTGGGGCAGGGGAGGACGTGGAGGCAGCCAAGGAGAGACAGAAGCCCCACGGGAAGGGTGGGAGCCCAGCCAGAGCAGAGACAGAGGCTGCTCCGGGGCTCCCTCTGGTGGGTGAGGGGCAGAGGCAGGAAGCCAACAAGGAGACAAAGGCAAAGTCAACCCGTCTTTATTAGCACTGGCAGTCACTGGGAGGAGGCCATGATGCTGGACACACCTGTCAAGAAGAGGCAAGACCAGGGTCAACATGGGAGGAGAGGGATACAAACCTCCAGCCACCCACCATGGCCCCCAAAACTCTGTACTTATTTTTCCTTTATTCGTGATAGAGCATATGTTTGCGCTCGCTGAGAACGAGCGATCCCCTTCCCACTGGTTAGATCCAGGGCACTGGCATGGGTGCCTGGTATGTTTCAGGCAGACCAGGCTAGGTATTCAAACTGGTCCTAGACACCTTCCGGGCCCAGGTTATGAACACAGAGGAGGTCATGTACAAAGGTTAAAAAACACAGGGACTGGGACCAGCAGATTGTATAATGGCTACTGGTCCTAGACACCTTCCGGGCCCAGGTTATGAACACAGAGGAGGTCATGTACAAAGGTTAAAAAACACAGGGACTGGGACCAGCAGATTGTATAATGGCTACGCGGCTGGACTCCCACGTAGTCGACCATGGTTCGAGTCTCAAACCTGGCAGCTTTTTTTTTTTTTTAATACATTCATTATACATCATTTAGATCGTAAAGAGACTTTACTCAGCATGATATACACCTCAGTCCAGCCCAGTTGGGAATACTATACACGTCCTCATCAACAAGTAATAAACCATATCTGTGTCCCACAAGTGTCTTACCTCTCTATTTTCTCCCCCAAATTTCCTTTCCTCTTCCCCTCCCACACTCCTTCCACTTTGTCTCTAGTGTCCATAACAATTTTTACTGCTTTTTTGTCCTCCAGTCTTTCAGTCTCTGGGTTTTAAGTCACTGGGTCTGGGACTACAAACCATGGTCAATTACGTGGGAGATCAGTGACGTAACCAATATGCCATCTGCTGGTCCCAAGTCTCGGACGTGGCAGCTTAAAACTCACACTGGGTGCATGTGCGTGCATGCCCAAGACCCCAAGAGGAGAATGGAGAAGGGATTGTGGCATGGCCATCCCCCCTCGAGAGTGCTTTCTCACTTTCTCTGTCTTTCTCTCCTGTGAAAGCATGCACCCTATACCAAATTCAAACAAAATAAAAACACACACGGAAACAAACAAAACGAAAACACATGGACTCTGGAGCAAGACCTAGGTTCAAATCTCAGGTCAGTTAATTAAAAGTTGAGTGCCCAGGACCAGCAGATGGCATAATGTTTACGTTGCTGGACTCCCACGTAGTCAACCGCGGCTTGAGTCCTGCACTTGGTGGCTTGAAACTCATGCCATGTGCATGCGAATGTGTGCCCAGGATCCCAAGAGGAGAATGGAGAGGGGACTGCGGCGTGGCCATCCCCCCCGAGAGGGTGATGTCTCACTTTCTGTCTCTTGGGCAAGCACATGCTCTCTGTATCAAAAATCTCTCTCTAAAAAAGAGCTGGGTGCCTTTGGACAACTTACTTAACATCTCTGTGTACCCATTTCCCCATCCATTAAGGAGCATCTACCCTATAGGAGTGCAAGATTAAATGAGAGCTTAGAACAATGCCTGGCACCAAATTAGCAGGACCACTATAATGATATTATTTACCACTTACTGTTTGCAAGACACTAAGATCTGCACTGCAGAAACTCTGCCTGCAATTCTCACAAAGAGCCCCAACACAGTGCTCTCATTTACAGGCTAGGGATAACTACCTGCTTAATCTTTTCCTTAATTAGTACCAAATTAGCTAGTTTGTACTGAGAAGCCACATTGTACCAATACTTTTCATACCCGTCTTTATTAGCACTGGCAGTCACTGGGAGGAGGCCATGATGCTGGACACACCTGTCAAGAAGAGGCAAGACCAGGGTCAACATGGGAGGAGAGGGATACAAACCTCCAGCCACCCACCATGGCCCCCAAAACTCTGTACTTATTTTTCCTTTATTCGTGATAGAGCATATGTTTGCGCTCGCTGAGAACGAGCGATCCCCTTCCCACTGGTTAGATCCAGGGCACTGGCATGGGTGCCTGGTATGTTTCAGGCAGACCAGGCTAGGTATTCAAACTGGTCCTAGACACCTTCCGGGCCCAGGTTATGAACACAGAGGAGGTCATGTACAAAGGTTAAAAAACACAGGGACTGGGACCAGCAGATTGTATAATGGCTACGCGGCTGGACTCCCACGTAGTCGACCATGGTTCGAGTCTCAAACCTGGCAGCTTTTTTTTTTTTTTAATACATTCATTATACATCATTTAGATCGTAAAGAGACTTTACTCAGCATGATATACACCTCAGTCCAGCCCAGTTGGGAATACTATACACGTCCTCATCAACAAGTAATAAACCATATCTGTGTCCCACAAGTGTCTTACCTCTCTATTTTCTCCCCCAAATTTCCTTTCCTCTTCCCCTCCCACACTCCTTCCACTTTGTCTCTAGTGTCCATAACAATTTTTACTGCTTTTTTGTCCTCCAGTCTTTCAGTCTCTGGGTTTTAAGTCACTGGGTCTGGGACTACAAACCATGGTCAATTACGTGGGAGATCAGTGACGTAACCAATATGCCATCTGCTGGTCCCAAGTCTCGGACGTGGCAGCTTAAAACTCACACTGGGTGCATGTGCGTGCATGCCCAAGACCCCAAGAGGAGAATGGAGAAGGGATTGTGGCATGGCCATCCCCCCTCGAGAGTGCTTTCTCACTTTCTCTGTCTTTCTCTCCTGTGAAAGCATGCACCCTATACCAAATTCAAACAAAATAAAAACACACACGGAAACAAACAAAACGAAAACACATGGACTCTGGAGCAAGACCTAGGTTCAAATCTCAGGTCAGTTAATTAAAAGTTGAGTGCCCAGGACCAGCAGATGGCATAATGTTTACGTTGCTGGACTCCCACGTAGTCAACCGCGGCTTGAGTCCTGCACTTGGTGGCTTGAAACTCATGCCATGTGCATGCGAATGTGTGCCCAGGATCCCAAGAGGAGAATGGAGAGGGGACTGCGGCGTGGCCATCCCCCCCGAGAGGGTGATGTCTCACTTTCTGTCTCTTGGGCAAGCACATGCTCTCTGTATCAAAAATCTCTCTCTAAAAAAGAGCTGGGTGCCTTTGGACAACTTACTTAACATCTCTGTGTACCCATTTCCCCATCCATTAAGGAGCATCTACCCTATAGGAGTGCAAGATTAAATGAGAGCTTAGAACAATGCCTGGCACCAAATTAGCAGGACCACTATAATGATATTATTTACCACTTACTGTTTGCAAGACACTAAGATCTGCACTGCAGAAACTCTGCCTGCAATTCTCACAAAGAGCCCCAACACAGTGCTCTCATTTACAGGCTAGGGATAACTACCTGCTTAATCTTTTCCTTAATTAGTACAAAATTAGCTAGTTTGTACTGAGAAGCCACATTGTACCAATACTTTTCATTTTTGTAGATTTTTGCCCTAAGGAGGGGACTAGAGACAGAGAGAGCGAGAACCCCCAGGGGGATGGCCACACCGTAATCTCTTCGTTTCCATTCTCCTCACAGGATTTTGGGTACGCACGTACACGCACACACACCCACACCTAGCATATGTTTTTCAAGCTGTCAGGTCCAGGACTTGAACGAAGGAGTGGACCATGTGGGATCCAGTGCCTTAACCACCATATCATCACCTGCTGGCCTTACTTATCTTTTTATTATTATTTTTTAATAGCCAGAGGGCAAATGTATTCATCAAAGAGGAGAGAGAGAAGCACTTCTTAATGGGGTATGGTCACACTGTAATGTGCTTCCCTCCACTTCTCCAGCCCATCTGGATTGAGGGCATGGCTGCACATGGCATTTTTTCCCAGCCACACGGCTCAGGACTTGAACCACAGCTGGCCGAATGTGATCTGGCTCTCCTATGTACACCATTAAACTGCTGTGCTATGGGACCAGCAGATTGGATAATGGCTACGCGGCTGGACTCCCACGTAGTCGACCATGGTTCGAGTCTCAAACCTGGCAGCTTTTTTTTTTTTTTAATACATTCATTATACATCATTTAGATCGTAAAGAGACTTTACTCAGCATGATATACACCTCAGTCCAGCCCAGTTGGGAATACTATACACGTCCTCATCAACAAGTAATAAACCATATCTGTGTCCCACAAGTGTCTTACCTCTCTATTTTCTCCCCCAAATTTCCTTTCCTCTTCCCCTCCCACACTCCTTCCACTTTGTCTCTAGTGTCCATAACAATTTTTACTGCTTTTTTGTCCTCCAGTCTTTCAGTCTCTGGGTTTTAAGTCACTGGGTCTGGGACTACAAACCATGGTCAATTACGTGGGAGATCAGTGACGTAACCAATATGCCATCTGCTGGTCCCAAGTCTCGGACGTGGCAGCTTAAAACTCACACTGGGTGCATGTGCGTGCATGCCCAAGACCCCAAGAGGAGAATGGAGAAGGGATTGTGGCATGGCCATCCCCCCTCGAGAGTGCTTTCTCACTTTCTCTGTCTTTCTCTCCTGTGAAAGCATGCACCCTATACCAAATTCAAACAAAATAAAAACACACACGGAAACAAACAAAACGAAAACACATGGACTCTGGAGCAAGACCTAGGTTCAAATCTCAGGTCAGTTAATTAAAAGTTGAGTGCCCAGGACCAGCAGATGGCATAATGTTTACGTTGCTGGACTCCCACGTAGTCAACCGCGGCTTGAGTCCTGCACTTGGTGGCTTGAAACTCATGCCATGTGCATGCGAATGTGTGCCCAGGATCCCAAGAGGAGAATGGAGAGGGGACTGCGGCGTGGCCATCCCCCCCGAGAGGGTGATGTCTCACTTTCTGTCTCTTGGGCAAGCACATGCTCTCTGTATCAAAAATCTCTCTCTAAAAAAGAGCTGGGTGCCTTTGGACAACTTACTTAACATCTCTGTGTACCCATTTCCCCATCCATTAAGGAGCATCTACCCTATAGGAGTGCAAGATTAAATGAGAGCTTAGAACAATGCCTGGCACCAAATTAGCAGGACCACTATAATGATATTATTTACCACTTACTGTTTGCAAGACACTAAGATCTGCACTGCAGAAACTCTGCCTGCAATTCTCACAAAGAGCCCCAACACAGTGCTCTCATTTACAGGCTAGGGATAACTACCTGCTTAATCTTTTCCTTAATTAGTACCAAATTAGCTAGTTTGTACTGAGAAGCCACATTGTACCAATACTTTTCATTTTTGTAGATTTTTGCCCTAAGGAGGGGACTAGAGACAGAGAGAGCGAGAACCCCCAGGGGGATGGCCACACCGTAATCTCTTCGTTTCCATTCTCCTCACAGGATTTTGGGTACGCACGTACACGCACACACACCCACACCTAGCATATGTTTTTCAAGCTGTCAGGTCCAGGACTTGAACGAAGGAGTGGACCATGTGGGATCCAGTGCCTTAACCACCATATCATCACCTGCTGGCCTTACTTATCTTTTTATTATTATTTTTTAATAGCCAGAGGGCAAATGTATTCATCAAAGAGGAGAGAGAGAAGCACTTCTTAATGGGGTATGGTCACACTGTAATGTGCTTCCCTCCACTTCTCCAGCCCATCTGGATTGAGGGCATGGCTGCACATGGCATGTTTTTCCAGCCACACGGGTCAGGACTTGAACCACAGCTGGCCGAATGTGATCTGGCTCTCCTATGTACACCATTAAACTGCTGTGCTAGGGGACCGGCCCACCAATACGGACCTTTTAAAATACCATAATGGCACTCAAGAGGGTCAGGAGGAGCCCTGGAGTCCAAAGAGCTGCCCATCCTTGGCCCCTATTCTCCCTTGCTCCGTGAGCAGAATGGTGAGATTTCACTATTTTGCTCTTTTCAGGTGACCTGTCAGATGTTATACGTCTGTACAACGGTGCTAACAATAACAATTCTTTCTTTTTTAATTTGCCATAGGGCACAAATGCTCCCCAGAAAGAGTCCAGGAAGGGTGAAATCGCCCCCCTAGGGCATGGTCCCACTGCAATTTCTTCTCTCCCAATTTCTCCCTCCTTTTGGAATCTGGGGTGCACATGTATCTAGTATATTTCTCAAGCCAGTGAGTCTGGGATTCCAACTGTGTGGTTGGCCATGTGGGATCCGGCTCCCTTAACCACCAGGCCACAGGGCTGGCTCAGCGATGACATTTACTGAACTGTATGACTCGCTCTTTGCTAAGAGATGGTTCTCAATTCCATGAGGTAGGTATTACGTTATATATATTAGTAACTTAAAATGAGGGTGCCTACCTTACAGGGTTTATGCGAAGATCAAATGACTTAAGGGTAAAGAAGTACAATGTTTATCATAATTATTGTTGATGCCACCCCTATTTTTTAGACAAGAAAACAGGAATGGAGAGGTGGAATCACCCCAAGTTAGAGGGCTATGAAGTCGAGAGTCAAGATTTGCACCCAGTCATCCTGACCCCAAAGCCCGTGCAAGCCAGGGAGCCCCAGGTATAAAGGAGCCTCTGGAATCAGTAAAGGGGTGGGGACACTGCAAGGCCCTCTAAGCCTCAGTATTTCCAGTGAAAAACATCTGGCATCCCCCACCACCTCCCTGGAGGGGTGAGACAGGTCAGCGCAATGTGGCAAACACAAATTCCCTAGCCCTGACCTAGCCCAGATCTACCCAGATCCTGGAGCCCCAGCCCTGACTGTGTTGAAAGACCTTCCTTAGCCCTGCAGCCCGAGCCCCAGGCTGCCACTCACTGTCAAAGTCGATCTTCTCCACGATGTTCTTGGGCTTAATGCTCTCTTCCTGGCTGCAGATGAAGATCTGCCCTGACTCATCAGCGCTCCAGCCGTATTTGCTCATCCACACCTTCAGCTGGCTGTCTGCAAGTGACATAGCAGCACAGGGGCTTCCGTTAGCCAAATCTCTCAATAGCAGGGGTAATGGGAGGCAAGGGCACCCCCTGCATTTCCTACCTGGACAGCAGAGCAGGCAACTAGTCTCCCTGTGGCCACCCCTGTTCTTCAACAGGCCCTTCTCTAAATGTCCGCCAGAGGGCGCCCTTTAGCTTTCTCATTCTTCCCTTCACAGAGCTTTGCTAAAGGGTGCCTGAGCCGAGCAGTGGGAGGGGTGGGGGATGACAGCCATGCTGTGCCTTCTCCACTCTCCTCTCAGGATTTTGGGTGCACATGCACAAGCGCACATGTTTTTCAAGGGGACTTGAACTGCACAGTCAGCTATGTGGGATCTAGCTGCCTTAACCTCCATACTACCTGCTGACCCATAAGTTGTTTTTTTTAAAAAATAAAAATATGGAATGCTGGGGCTAGCAGGTGGCATGTGGTTAAAGGTACTGGACTCCCACATGGTTGACTATGGTTCAGGTCCAGGACCCAGCAGCTTGCTTTCTCACTATTTTTTTTTTAATTTATTTAATTTTATTTACTCATTCATTTATTTTCATTTGACCAGAGATTAACAGAGAGAGAGAAAGTGAGAAAGCAAGCCACCAGGTCTGGGACTTCCTTCCTCTCCATTCTTGCCAGGTAAGTAAGAATAACCTTGTTTTTGAGACTATTCCAATTTCTCTTTTTTTTTTTTTTTAAGATTTATTTAATTTTTGTTAGCTTTATCACTTTCTCTCTCTCACTGTGTCCCTCTCTGGTCAAATTAAAAATGAATGAATGAATGAATGAAAACAAGACCTATACAAATAAAATGAAAAACCATGGAATGCTTCATGAATTTGCATGTCATCCTTGCACAGGGACCATGCTAATCTCTGTCTCGTTCTAATTTTAGTGTATGTGCTGCCAAAGCAAGCACACAATTCCTAAGGTTTAAACTACATACCATGCAGAATCAGCAGACGGCGTAATGGTTACACTGCTGGACTCCCATGTAGTAGACCACAGTTTGAGACCTGGACATGGCGGCTTAAAACTTAAGCCAGCACATGTGCATGTGTGCCCGAGATCCTGAGAGGAGAATGGAGAAGGAATTGTGGTGTGGGCATTCCCCCTGGGGGGGGTGGTCATTTCTCGTTTTCTGACTCTCTCTCTGTCTCTCCAGTGAGTGTATGTACCCTATCACCCTCCTCCGAAAAAAAAAAAAAAAAAAAAAAAAAAAAAATGCACACCATGCTGAGTTACATGATCAAATCTTGCTCTGACCTAGTGGGGAGGTGAGTCTCCCTATGTATAGAGCATCCACACTGTTTACACTCCCTGCTATTAGTCACCTAGCAGCTGTCTTAGTTGTCGGACTGAAAAAAAACCACCGTGGTATATATATGGGGTTCAGCATTATCCAGGGTTTCATGCACCCACTGGGGGCCTTGAAACGAATCTCCATGGACAAGGGGGAACACCACAGTATTACTGAGATGACACAGACTCATCTGATTCTTTTATTACTAAAGGTTTCTACCATAGCACATTTACACTCCCCTGGAGAAAGAGAGACCATGAGAGGGACAGTTAGAAATTACCCTCTGAGGGGATGGCCATACCACAATCCCTTTTCCTCTATTCTCCTGGGATTTTGGACACCCACGTGATTTTCAAGCTACCAGGTCCAGGGCTTGAACCACGGTTGGCCATGTGGGAGTCTAGCACCCCTAAACACCATGCTATCTACTGGCCGCTCATCTGATTATATTCCATTTGAAGGCTTGTTTCATACCTTTTAGATTTCACTTAGTTTTTAAGATATAAACATCTAGGTGATATAAAGCACTTAGTGTAGTACCTGACACAAAATGTCCAGTGAAGGTTACCTTCTACTGGGCCAGTAGGTGGTATGGCCTGGACTCCCATGTGGTGGACAAAGGTTCGAGCCCCAGACCTGGTGGCTTGCTGGCTTGCTTTCTCACTTTCTGTCTCTCACTGGTGAGTGCTTATGCCCTACAGCAAATTTAAAAATAGAAAAAACAGGACCAGCAGGTGTAATGGTTACATCACTGGACTCCCATGTAGTCAACTGCAGTTCTAGTCCTGGACCCAATAGCTTAAAAAAAGCTCAAGTCAGCCACGTGTGTGTGCATGCCCAAGATCCTGAGAGGAGAACGGAGAAGGGACTGCAGGGTGGCTATCTTCCCAGGGGTGATTTCTCACTTTCTGTCTGTCTCTCCAGAGAGCGCATGTGCCCTACAGCAAAAATCTCTCTTAAAAACATAAAAAAAGTGGGACCAACAGTTGGTGTAATGGCTGTTGCTGGACTCTGATGTAGTTGACCGCGGTTCAAGTCCCAGACCTGGTGGCTTAAACTCACGCCGGGTACACGTGCATGTGTGCCCAAGATCCTGGGAGGAGAATGGAGAAGGGACTGTGGCATGGCCATCCCCCCTGGGGGGTGATTTCTCGCTTTCTGTCTCTCTGGTGAGCGCATATGCCCTACAGCAAAAACCTCTCAAAAAAAAAAAAAAAAGTAACAATAATAAATATAATTAAAAAAATAAGTAATATAACAAAGTTACCTTCTACTAAACACACACTACAACCTGGATCAAATGGAAAGCCACACAAAGTACTGAGTCTCACCCACAACCCACTACTGTCTTCCGGCTCCCACCTGACCTCCCAAGAGTAGCCACTTGCTTTTCTTTCCTGACTTTCTGTTTCTTTTAGCAAATATATATGCTTTCTTTTTGCTTTTTAGAGGGATCTTTTAAAAAACATCAGCCATCCTGCTCTCCCTGCTCAGAGCCTGTCTGTGGCTCCATCAGGGAGACAGGCCTCCTGCCCCCTGGAGATCCCTCTCCAAACATCCTCCACCTCTCTGCTTCAGCTTGCCCCTGGCACCCAGGCCACCCTTGGAACATGACAGGCAGGCCCCTCCCTGGATCTTCATGATGCCGTGCCTCAATGGCCCGCTTTGCTCCCCTGAGGCTGTTATACAACCGCCAGCCCTCTCTGCGAGCCCTCCTGTTCCCTTCACAGCCTGAATCACCCAGGCACGTGCCCAGTGTTGAGGACAGCGTCTCTCACACCGCAGGCACTCAACTAATTGATGGAGAAAAAATGAAGAAAAAACACAGGCTCTCTACCAGGAAGGAACGTCTGTACCACGTCTCACCTCCTCCCTGGGCGGGCCTGCAGTAACAGCCTGGTGAGACCAGAATGGTCCGCCTGAGGCATGGCCAAGGCCCACTGCCCTGACCACCCCTGCTCTCCCAGAACTGCACAAGGAACCCAGAGGCCTCACCTGTCAGATCCCCCAGCATCTCGGCCAGCAGCCAGCGGTCGATGTGCTGGTAAGTGATGCCCACGACATGGCAGATGACTGTGGAGGGCAGAGACACAGGTGTGAGAGGCTGGCCCAGCACTCTTCTGCCACTCGCCACTCGCCACCCGTCACCCGGGGGAGCCCTGGTGCAGAGAAGCACTTACATTTTCGAACAGAGTCTTCAAAGCCAGTAATACCTTCTAAGAGGTCCATGTTTTCATCCAGGGCTTGCTGTGAAGGGAATGATCATGTTCACGTCAATATTAATATCAACGGCATTATTTTTTTTTTTTTGAGATTTTTGCTATAAGGTGTGTGCGCTTGCCAGAAAGACAGAAAGCGAGAAATCACCCTCCAGAAGGGATTGCAGCATGGACGCAATGAAGGACCCTTCTCTTTCATTCTCCTCTTGGGATCTTGGCATACACGAGTTTTAAGACGCTAGGCTCAGACTTGAACCACGGTCGATGAAGAGGGAGTCTAGCAACATAACCATCTGCTGGTCCCTCGATGACATTATTAGGTGGGGCCAGATGGTGACACAGTGTTTTTGTAAAACTGTGCCACTCAGCAAGGCTGACCCACGTGGGAGGTTCTGGTCCATATCTGGTGACCTCCCCGGGCAGCCGGCCCTGTGCTCATAATCCAGGCTGGTTGAAGGCTGGGGGTGGACAACAGCATCCAGGCTCTGATGGCGGTGCTGCCTCTGACTCACGGAAGAAATCAATCAGGTGTGTGTAGAGGACAGTATGAGCGCTGATAACGGCACATGGACAGCAGCTAACTCATGAGCGGTCACCACGCCCCCGCTGTTCCATGCAGTCACTGTTGCTGTGTCTGTTTTAGAGATGAGGAGACGAGGCTCAGAGCCGCTGGGTGATCTGCCCTACACCACGTGCAGGCGGGCGGCAACCATAGCCCAAGAAAGGCACAGAGGCACTGGCTCACTGCACTCAGCCGCCCACCCTGCTTGTCTCACTTAGGAAGAGCCAGCCTTTCTACCACGGCCCACAGGGTCCTGCATGACCTGCCACCACGGCTGTGCCCTCATCTCCACCCACTCACTCCCCACACACCTTGCACTGGCCACAGGGCCTCCTCTCTGTTCCCCAACTGCACCGGGTGCCCGCCCACCTCAGGACCTTTGCAATGGCTGTCTATATCCGGAACTCTCCCCCGCCACGGCAGGCACCCTCACCTCCTTCGGGTTTCTGCTCAAAGGTCACCTCGGCACAGGCTCCCACCAACAGGAGGGAGGGAGAGGAGACGCACACAAAGACACTATGAAGGGGCATCCAGGAAGGTGGGAGGAAGATCAGAACAGCTGTCCCGGACACCGGGTGACAAAGCGTCTGAGGGAGCAGGGAGCCGCTGCCCCTACCAGAGACAGCAGACAGGGCAGGTAAGAGACCCGAGAAGTGCCCACTGGGTCCAGCGATGCAGAGGTCACTGCTGGGCCTGACGGGGGAAACTGCAGGGAGTGTGAGTGTGCACATGTGTGGATGTACACACACGGTCTAAATGGGCCGAGTGGAGTGAGTTCAAGTGAGCGGGGGAGGAGGCACTGAGCACAGGGATTTCCTGGTGAGAAACATTTGGGTTGGAAAGCAGGGAAACCCTGGAAAGTGAGACAGCTGGGCCCCCCTTGGCAGCCTGGCTGTAAAGGGGAACAGAGAAGTGGGAGAAGGCAGGGCTGGTGGGGAAAGCGGAATCAGGAGAACCCTCCCTCCCTTATTTATTCATTCACCTATATTAATTTGACCAGAGAGAGACATAAAAAGAGAGAGGGAAAGTGAGAAAGCAAGCCACCAGGTCCAGGACTCGAACCGTGGTTGGCCATGTGGGAGTGTCCAGTGCCTTAACCACCACACCATCTGCTGGTCCCCCTGGTTGCATGGTTTTGAAATAGCTTAAAAATTAAGACAGGAGAGGCAGTATGTGGCAGGGAGAAGGAGCTAAGTTCTTCAAGAAAAGAGGAAGGGTCGTTTGTGGAGTTGAGACCAATGAAGTGGGGCAGAAAGTGAGCTTCAAGACTGGGGAGGGAGGGAGGCAGGTTGCCTGGCAACGGCAGTGAGGCAAGGAGGCCGCAGAAGTGGAGTGCCAGGCTCCAGATCCAGTAAGAAAGGGAGCAGGGCTCCAGACTCGAGAGGCCGATGCGGTGCACACGTGCTTCCAGCTGAAGGCGTGTCCTAGAGGACCCAGTGAAGGAACGGTGGGGAAGGGGGGGATTTCTGTGAGCCCTGGCTGTGTGTGACAATGACCACTCCATAGCTTATACACAAAGCACTCGGCACAGAGCACGTCACCAAGCAGGTAGCCACTGTGTGTACATGGTCATCGCTTAAGTGAGAGGGACAAAAGAACACACGTGTGCTCACAGGGGAGGGCGGGAGCAGGAAAGAGGTATTTCTCAGAGTTTTGCCTTTGCGATCCTCTGCCCAGCCTCCCAGTTAGCTAGGATTACAGGTGCAAAATACCATGTTGGACTGGCCTGAGATTTGAACCCAGGCCTCTCATGTGGCCACAGCCTTGTACAGTTGCACCCTACCCCTTGCACCACCATGGTGCCCAAGATCATTATTTTTACCATCCTCCTCCACATCCTCCTCCCAGCTACCCACCCTGACCCAGACCCAAAGGAAGTTACCCAGAAGGCCTGGAAGTGGCAGGTCTCCAGCAGGTCCCCAAGGTACAAAATCTGTCGGATGGGCCGCTCTTCTTGCTGGGAGGAGGAAGTGTTAAGGGAAAATGGCCAGAGAGCCTGCGGAAGCTAGAGTCGGGGCGTAGTTCACCCCTTCTACCCACCTCCTTCTGGCCCCTCTTCAAAGGTTCAGCTCACAAAAGAAACTGGAAAATGAAGCCATCTCGTTTGCCCTGCGATATGTGCGGGAGGGAGGGCGTCTGCAGCAGCACTGTTTGTAACAGCAAAAGGCGAGAGATGACCTAAGGGTCTGACGACAGGGACCATGAAATGAACAGGGCCCATCCATGTGCTGATGAGGACGACGCTTTGCGAGCCCACGGGACAAAAGCAAGACAGAGAATGACGTACAAAACGCCCTATCTGGATGGGGGACAAGTGTACACACACACACACATCTTTATTTACACGTCAACAGTCTGTGGAGAGGGACCCAAGAATTACAACAAGGGGTCAGCAGGTAATACGATGGTTAAAGTGCTGGATTCCCATGTGGCTGACTGGAGTTCAAGTCCCAGACCTGGCAGCTTGCTTTCTCACAAACTCTTTCTCTTTCATCAAAGTTAATAATACTAATAAATAAAGTAATTCTTGGGACCAGCAGGTGGCATGGTGATTAAAGAACTGGATACTCCCACACAGCCAACCATGGTTCGAGTCCTGGATCTGGTCGCTTGCTTTCTCACACTCCCTCTCTCTCTGGGTCTTTCTGGTCAAATTTTAAAAAGAATGAATAAATAAAATTAAATAAATAATTTTCTAAAAAAGAATTATTTTATTTAACTTTATTATTATCATTGTTATTTTTCCAGTTTGATCAGAGAGAGATGGAGAGAGAGAGGGGAAGTGAGAAAGGCAGCG